TAGTGTTATGTACTATTTGTACGTACTAGGTAGACTATTTATGCAAATCTAGACTGTTTTATTAGAAAATTACTGGATTATTTTCTAAATGTTAGACTATTTATGCGAATCGAATTATTTTATTAGAAAATTACTGGACTCTTTTCTAAATGCTAGACTGTTTATGCAAATCTGAATGTTTTATTAGGGAAATATTAAATTATTTTTGTAAATACTGGACTATTTATGCAAATATAGACTGTTTTATTACAGAATTACTGGACTTTTGTCTAAATATTAGACTATTTATGCAAATATGGACTATTTTATTTGAAAATTACTAGACCATTTTCTAAATGTTAGACTGTTTATGCAAATCTGGGCTATTTTATTAGAGAATTACTGAACTATTTTCTAAATGCTAGACTGATTATGCAAATCTGAAATATTTTATTAGAGGATTACTGGACTGTTTCTAAATTATATCTGTTTATGCAAATCTAGACTGTTTTATTAGAGAATTACTGGATTATTTTCTAAATGCTAGACTATTTATACAAAATATGAATTATTTTATTAGAAAATTACTGGACTTTTTTCTAAATGCTAGATTTTTTATGCAAATCTAAAATGTTTTATTAGGGAATTATTGGATTGTGATGTAAATATTGGTCACCTTAAAATAGATTTTAATTTCCGTTTTTAGTTTAAATATTAACTTATTTCTTCTTTCCCTTTCGCTTCTCTTCTTCCCCGTCGTCTGTCGTCCACCCGCCTCCGCCCGGTTTCAAACCGTGTTTTTTCCGGTTGCCACCACCCACCTTAGCCCCAACGAAATCATCAAATCCTCCACCCACCTTAGATTTTTCGTTTTTGCTTTTATAAAATTGACTTGGTCAAAATTCATCTTCCTTCTTTTTTCTTTTCTTCTCGTTCGACGTTGACCCGCCCACTGGCCCCTTTCCCCCGCCCTTTTCTAAATCCTAGTTTTAACCGGCGACCACCACCCATCTAAAGACCATCGATTTTCTAAATCCTAGACTTCTCCTCTTCCCACGTCGCGTCCTTGCTGCCAACGCTCCCCAATTTTGGCAAAACCTCCAATTTCTGGTCTCCCAGCGAAACTTTGGGGCCTGTCTCCGGTGATGATGCTTCTCCTTGGGCTCTTTTCAGCTACCGCAGTGAAAGCAAAGCTTCTTGCTGGTTGATGGTTAGATGGTGGAAGCAAATTGTCATCTCTGAAGTATTTCTGTTTTGTCAGTTCAGATTTGGCTTTATTGATGAAGTTATTAATTTGGATATCTTAGAATTACAATTTCATGATAAGTTGATGCGTGAATTTGATTTTTGGTGTTGGTGTGCTACTGGATTTTGGATAGTTTTCTGCCCTTTGAACATGTTTACAGTTGCAGATCTGTTTTGTTTTTTTTTTTTCACTCTATGTCGTCAAAAACGGATTTTGGTTTTCCGTTTTTAGGTTATGATAAAAAAAGAATTATAGTTTCCATTTTTATTTCGGAAAAATATTTCCATTCTTATTTAATTTACAATTTATTTTTTAGTTTTTCAATAAAAATTTACAAATTTTAAAACGGATTTATGTTTTCCGTTTTTCTTAATCAATTATTTAACAAACTATAAAGAAACCTAAATCTCTATAAAATGGAATGAGGAAATCCGTTTGTGCTTTTGTAGATTAAAAAACGGAAATCAGATTTCCGGCAATTACTTTTTCTGACCACCCCTTCAGATCCAGCTATTTCGGTCTTCTTCTTTGGTTCGGGGCATATTTTGGGGTTTGACTCCTTAACAAAATGAAAGAGTACTTGTGTGGGCTAATTCATGGAAACATGTATTTGATGTGGACATTATGGCGGATATCGGATATCAGTAAGGTTGTCGTCCTCATCATCTAATTTTTTTTTTATTATTAAAGGAGAGTTTAATGTTTTAGTTTACCCTACTAAAAAATGTTTGCAAGATTGCGATTCTACGTAGGATCGAAATGGGTTCATAGGATCGGATCGTAAACGGGATCGGTAGGATTCGAATAATAGGATCGTAAAATTAATTATACATGTTATATAATTAATTACTTTAATAATTAGGTTTCAATTATCTTTAAATAAAGTATTTAACATTTAAACAAAAAAAATTGTGTAAATTCAACTTTTCGTATGTAAATTTTTTCATAACTTTTTAATAAAAACTCTTCTCTTATAGTTATTCTTTTCATATTATTAGAAAAACTTTCTAAAATACATTTTTCTTAGCAATAAAAGTTTTCTAATGAATATTAGCCTCAATTGAATGTAGACCAAAAGAAATAAGAAAAAGAAAAAATCTCAATTCGAGAGAATGGGCCTTTTCATCCCAAGATTTGAGCCACACCATCTAAAACATCCCAAAGTTTAAAAGCATGCCATTTTCATCCCAAAATTTTCAAAAATATGTAATATTAGGATATTTGTTAATTTTTTCAAGTTATTAACGGCGATATTTCATTCAATTTCTTTTTCTCCATTTTTTTTTTTAGTCAAAAAAGTTTCATGCTTGCGTTTGGTAAATTTGGTCCATGCCAAGCAAAAAAGTTGCATGTCCCTGCATCAATTACAACACCAATTTTTATAATGATGCTACATATTTAAAGAAATAAATGAAATAGGGCTTACTTTCTAATTAGGACACACACAAAACCTCTCATGATTGTTATCAATCTAGAAGGTGAATCTTGGTTTTTTTTTTTCTTTTTCTAAGCAAGGGAACAATGGATGATGTGAAGACCAAATTAGGTTTAGCTATTTTCTTATAAGGTGGGAGTTAGTGGAATGTGTTAAATGATTAAAAGAATTGGGGAGGAGAAACAAAATAAAGTACCAACTGGAGTTAAAAATTTAACGAATATCCTAATATAACATGTTTTTAAAAAGTTTGAGATGTAAATAGCATATTTTTAAACTTTGGGTTATTTTGGATGGTGTGTCCTAAACTTTGGGATGAAAAGACCCATTTTCCCATCTCAATAAACTCAATTAATTTTTTTGTAATTAATGAATAGTAAACTCAAACCGATCCTGACCGATCATGTACGATTCTAACCGATTTTGACCGATCCTACTGCAAAATTCGAGTTTGATCGATACAGGATTGATTTTCGTACTTAGGATCGTAGAATCGGACAATCCTACGATTCAGGTTCGCGAGCCACTCCGATCCCACTGCAAAATTCGAGTTTGATCAATACAGGATCTATTTTCGTACTTAGGATCGTAGGATCAGACGATCCTACGATTCAGGATCGCGAGTTTGCAAACTATGCTACTAAATAAAAAATATGTCATTTTGCCCCCTGCATATATTCTCTAATTTCGGGCTCCACCATGGTATGAATAGGTTGTTACGTTACAATTAAACATTTTGTATATAGAGACTATTCTGAGGTGGATTCATTCGTTTTATATGAGTTTTTATTTTGTTATAATAGTTTGTCACTAAATATTGATTTATAACCTCTTTATTTACATTGTTGGCGCTACGTATACTCTGCAATGTTATGCAGATTATATGGGACTTTTGCCACCCTTTTGTAATCGAAGGAAAGGGAGGGGAGATATAATTGTGTTGGAGGCTTTGCATGTTAGGTTTGAAGAAATCTCTTTTCACCTTAATATGATCATAATTAATTTACTATTGAGATTCATGGACATATAAATCTGAAAATAATAAATAGTTTAGTTTATAGTTAGTGAAAAGAAAGGACTATTATCAGGCGGGTAGCATAATTGACGCTTCTACTTTTGTTAATTCTTTCCCTCTCAAAAAAAAAAAAAAACTTTTACTGTGTTATACTAAAATAATATAAATTGAGCTATTTTTTGAGAGGATGGAGCATAGATGATAAAAATAAAAACAATTACTAGCACAATCTGATATTGAAAAATGGCAACAGTGGGGGAAAACAATGAAACCGCTACTAGACATATCCTGTGACATTATATTCAGTATCCTTTGATAAAATTTTGAGTTTTAAATCTTTGATAGTCAAATATCTCTCTCTCTCTCTCTCTTTGAAAAAGGATAATCAAACCTCATTTAATGTAGAGTTGAGATTTGAGGATGTGTTAAAAAAAATTTTATTCCTTTTTCCAATATACACACCAAAATTACCAAAATGTAAGTATATCGTGATGAGAAAATATTGAGTACATGTGCTCTAATATGTAGAATTGTGTAGACAGGTACAATAAATTAAGTAAAAAATAGTAATTTTAGGGGAAAAGATAACTTCCACGATAATTTTAACAATAAAATAAGGATAATAATAAGGATACAGTTACTATATTTAATATTTTTCAAGTGTGATGATCCACAAATGATAAGTAGTTGTTGTTAGACAACGTCTCACATAATTGAACTTTCACCTTTATTCATCTCAAAATGTACTATGGAAGATAATGCAATGATTGCACTCGAGAATTAGGTTTATATGTATGCCTCTCTTTCTCTTTCGTTGTGTGAATAAGATTCTAGTGTGATGATTAACTACTAAATTTGGCAACCATCCAGAAAATTTAAACCTCTAGAGCACCAACATAAGATGATACATTCGGCTGAAAAAAACAACACGCATTTTAAATTAAAAGAGTAATAACCGAATCCAGAACACTTTATGTTTTTACATGGTTTTTTTTAGTATATTACGCACTTAATTAGTTTTTGAAATCATGGTTCCGACTAATCTGGATTTGAGTAAGATAAGTCTCTTTCGGCAAATAAAACTCTTTCTAATAAATATTTTAATCACTGTTGTATGTTCATGTCGATCCCCGAGTCATAATTAAACTGGCTTGATAATTTTTTCTTTTTCGATAACTGCACTTCTCTGACTTTTCGTATTGCATACAGGGTGGAAGAAACTGAAAAAGTCTTCGCCTCCCCTTTTCTCACTTTAGTCAAATCGTATAATAGAGCAATTAATTATAAAAATGGACTTTGATCTAATAATCCACATTCCACAATCTGTGATCTCCCATTTCCTACTACTAATGAAATTGTTCTTGACCGGCTTTAAAAAAATGGCGGAAAGTTGCGCTGCAAAACACTTTGTGCTGGTTCACGGAGCATGCCACGGGGCATGGTGCTGGTACAAGTTGGTGGTTTTACTAGAAAAATACGGCCACAAAGTCACCGCCGTGGATTTGGCCGCTTCCGGCCGGAACGTGGAGGATCGGTTGCAAGATTTGCAGACGATCGACGACTACCATAAGCCGCTGTACAAGTTCTTCGAGGGTTTGCCGGACGACGACGACGAGGATAAGGTTATCCTGGTCGGCCATAGTCTGGGTTGCTACGCGGTTTCTTCCGCCATGGAAAGGTTCCAGGAGAAAATCGGTTGGGGTGTTTTCGTTTCAGGAATCATGCTTGGTCCTCACTTGACAATGGACGATTTCCCCCCTAATAAGGTAATTAATTAATTAATTAATTATAACTAGCTAATTTAAACTGATCATCATGAAAAAAAAAGGGAAGAAATTTTGTTGTCGACAGTGTTAAATTTTATGCAAATAAAGAATCTGTAAAATGATAGAGAAAGTGGTGCTGTCAATGAATCATGGTACAATTCGATTATTATTAGCAGATAATTTCGTTGTATCAAAGTATAGTAATTTTTATTAGTATATTATATCGCATTCGTCCCATATTTAGAAACATATATAGATCAACTTTATATTTGTGTGTGTGTATGGTATATAATGGTACAAACAACTAGTTTGAAAAATGCATGAAGATCAGGCTGATCGCGATGTTGTTTTCTTTTATGCAACTTTGACTGGAGAACATGTATTTGTACATCGTTGACTTTAAACAAGATAGAGCTGAAATGTATAAGTTACGTATAGCATTAGCTTACTTATAATCACGTAAAATCTCCGTTAAAGCTAACTGCTTGTTGGGTTAAATGAGAAAATGGAGATCCCTTTCATCTTGTTTATTGCTCAATCTGAAAACAATCATTTATCGCACCATATATAAATTGACTATATAGATCATATATCGCTATTTGGTCAATCAACGTTATCTATATCATTCTAGCCAGAAGAATACTCATATTTATGTAATTATAATGTTAGGCTAACTATCAATGCAGGTACTTGGACCCGACTATTATATGGATTCGGAACTGAAAACCATTGAAGTGAATGGAAGGATCCAAACTCATATGACCTCCGGGAAAAAGTTCCTAGCAGCCAATTATTACCAAAATTCGCCACCTGAGGTAAAACAACTCATTTCCATCTTCCTATCTCCATGCATGATCACCTATGCTGTTTTTTGGTATTTAAATTTTGTTTAGTACCTACGTCGAGATTATAATTAAGAATATAAATTCCAACAAAGATCGTTAATTTTGGATTCATTAGTTACATTTTGCTGGGCCCTGTTGTTGCAATAAATAAATAAACAATTTGCCACAAAATTATGTTGCGAATCAATTTATTATATTTGCTTCGACTGAATCTCTTTTAAACGGCTTTCCCGTGCATTTAATTTTATGTAATATCATCCTGGCACAAGGGATTTCAACTACTCCCTCCGTCCCAAAATTATTGTCCAGTTTGGGTTTTCACTTTTAGTACAAATTGAACGAAAAATGAAAATCTAAACTGGACAATAATTATGGGACGGAGGGAGTACATTATTGGTGGAAAGTAGTGCACACATATGTCATCTAATTACTAGTGGCCTAATTGTCAAGCTTCCATCTCTTCATAAGTTCATAAATTACTAGGAGACCAAGGTCTTCTCTCTCTATATCTACTTGTTTTTGGAAAAGAAACGAAATAGCAAACTAGAAATGACCTCCCTTTTTTGTCCCGTAATGTAAACCATAATACTAAATAAACTATGTAAATCATGGTTGGAACATTATGTAACAGGGTTGTATATCTCAGAAATGTGAAACTTTAGGCATTACACTCCTACATTGTAAAAAAAGAAAGAAAAAGAAATGTCCTTTTTTTTGTCACTAGAATTTATTCTAACCAAGAAATATCATTTCCATACTCTCAACAGGATCTGGAACTAGCATCTTTGTTAGTACGACCAGCTAAATTCTTCATGGATGATGAGTCGAAAAAGCAACTCTTGGTTTCAAAGGAGAAGTACGGATCAGTACGGCGGGCATTTATTATCGGACACGCATTGGAGGACAGGGCAGAGACGCAAAGATGGAACGTGGAAAAGAATCTGCCAGACGCGGTTTGGGAAATAGAAGGCGCGGATCATATGATCATGATGTCCAAACCTCAAGAACTCTGCGACATTCTAGTTGACATTGCTGGAAGGGAAAATTATTAGTCAAGCCCAACCGATCTTGAAATATTTCTATTCTACATTTCTCCAAATTATAGTTTATGTAATCAGTACTCCTTATGTCTCATAATAATTGCCCAAATAATTTAACTAGTTGGTTGTGCGTGTTCTTAATCTTTGTGAGATCTACGGAGAAGAATGATGGCTGAATTTTGGGATCATTTTTCTGTGATATTTATTGAAATAAAATTAAGCTTTCTGTGGAATTTGCTGATTTAATTTGGTGCATGTTGCATGCATGCATGTAATAGGAAGACTAATTTTGTGATAGACGGTTAGTCTCACTAATACGTAATGTAATAATAGGTGTTTCATATTCGCTTATATTATATTTCTTCCGTCTCGAAATCACTCTCCAATTTAAATTTTTATTTTTAGTACAAATTGGACTAAAAGTTAAAATCTAAACTGGACAATAATTTTGAGACAAAGGGAGTACAGTGTAATGTCACATGTCCTAGCCTCAGAAGATTCGGCTTCATCTCTTGTAAAAGCAAAATAAAATAATAAATTATTATATACTCTTTTGGCAAAAAAAAAAAAAAGAAGGTTGGTTTGTTAAAATTAAATCACATATACGGCGTGATTGATTTACCAAGAAGAAAAAAAAAATGATTTCGATTCTGCTTCTCTGGTAATTAGAATCCGTTTATTTCACACTCGACTCGGGGGAACTATCATGGCAAAATACTTTGGGTTTGATTGATCGATATCCGCTGGAATATTATGGGTTCGAACAACTTCAGTGTACGGAAAAGCGTCGCCACCATGACCATGATGATGACCTTGATCAAACTGCTCCTCTTCGGGGAAGTAAAGGATAAAAGCACAACTTCTTCAGCGCAGCGGAAAGCCTGGAGTACCTGAACCTGAACCTGACTTGAAAATCAGCAAAAACATAATTTCACTCTTTTTGCTTTAATTTCTTTCTCTTCTTTTATTTGAATTTGGGATCGCTACTGATTGCTTTGATGATGTTTTTTAGTTTTGTGTGGTGCGTGTCCTGAAAGGGTTCGAGGGACCACAACTCTAGCTTTTCGTTTCAAAGGCGGGATTATGGTAGCTGCTGATCATTACTCATCACCGGAATCCTCTATCCAGAACGTTGTTGAACTTAATTCACACATGGTTGCGACCATTCTGTGGATGCAACTTTTTGCTGGAAGATTTCAAAAGGGAATGTCAATGTGGCAAGAAATGAAGGAAGGGCAGAAGAGCCACTGTGGCAAAGGAGGCATCAAATTATGATCGCTTTCATTTTTACAAATCAGATGTCCAAGTTTGAAATCTTTTCATAAGTTCAGATACGTAACCTACTAGTCTCTCCTTCACAAATAGCGGTAATCATGTGAGAACCAAGACAGAGTAAGGCGCTTGGTAGATGTTGTACTGGTAAAATTGAGTGTTAAAAATGTTCAAACTTTGAACTTATATACCAGTTACTTCATTTTGGTCAAAATAATTATCCAGTTTGAATATTATTTTAGTATAAATAGAACTAAAACTGAAAATCAAAATTGAACAATAATTTTAGACAAAATGAGTATAATTTATTCGGTAAATTTTGAAGTGTCAACTTTCACCACTATCGTTTCAATTTTATCAGATGTCCCGGCGAAAAAGGTCCCATGCATTTACGACTCACTTTCTTATCACCATCATTTAAAAAGTTGAATATAGTGAAGCACATCTGAAATAGACTTCCACCTTCCTTTTTTTATGTTTTTTTAGTTTCCCTTTTGACAAATAATATTTGCGTCGTTATGGTTTATAGTTTTCCATTTGTGTATTGTATCATAGAATGTATAGAAGGCAACACATAGCGCGTACATTTTTGCTACCACATTTTTATCATTTTTTTGAGCGGGCTTAAAATGGCGGAAAGATGTCCAGCAAAACACTTCGTGCTGGTTCATGGAGCTTGCCACGGCGCGTGGTGCTGGTACAGGGTGGTGGTTTTGCTTGAGAAACACGGCCACAAAGTCACCGCCGTGGATTTAGCCGCTTCCGGCCGGAACGTGGACCGGCGGTTGGAAGACTTGCGGACCATCGACGACTATCATCAGCCGCTTTACTCGTTCTTGGAGGGATTGTCGGAGGAGGACAATCGCGATAAGGTGATTCTGGTGGGCCATAGTATGGGCGGCTATGCGGTTTCCTCCGCCATGGAAAGGTTCCCCGAGAAAATCAGTTGGGGTGTTTTCGTTTCAGGATTCATGCTTGGTCCTGATTTGACTGTGGACGATCTTAGTCCTAAGGTAATTAACTAACTTTTAATTAATTAAAACTGCTCATCTTGGAGGGACAAAAAAAGAGTTTTATGCGGAAACAGATTGTTATATTGTTTCTGTCCAAAAAAAAATTTAATGTCAGAGTTTCATATTTGAGCTGATTTTAATATAAATTTCAAAACTCTACGTGAATTATTTTTTTCGAACACAAGGAGTAATTAACTAAGAAAATGATAACGACTTGGGAGGAAAAAAATTATGTATGTATGGTGCAAACATTTAGATTGAGACATCTATTCATCTTTAGGTTTTAAAATGATGATCCAATTTAGATTTTTATTTTTTGAGAAAATTCTATTTTATAAAGACGTCTTTGTATTATGTACCATAACAATTGGTCTTCTCAAATCATGTCCTTATGTTTGAATCAACAAAATTTTTAACAGCAAAATGGAATAGTAGCAATCTCCCAAACTGCCACACTTTTATAAAAGAGCAAATTGCATCTTAAATTTTAGTGATTTTATAAAAACATACCTCTGTAGCTAGGTCAAGTTTTGAACAAATTGCACATTGAAATTTGGTCAAAAATTTCTCATGGCTTCTTGTTTCAATTCTTTCTGATGTATATATTTTTTTCTTTATTATAACTTTTATTTATAGTGTTATTTGCCTTTTTTACATGATTAGTTTAGAAAATAATTTTTTTAGTTTTTCTTTTATCTGATACTTTTTTATTCATGTTCTTGGCACTTTTAAGAATTTTTGGTAATTTTTGGAAATATATAATGTTCAATCATTCTCATTTTGACTAAAGGCACTTTTTCGATATTTCTATCCATGGTGCCTTTATCTCTACAGAATCTCCTAAAGTAGATTAGATTTCCTAATAATTAAGCAGCATACCATCCAAGCCTTTAAAAGAGATGGAGAGGCTTGCTTCTTGGACTCTTTCTTGTTTATTTATACCAAGCAATAAGATCCATTTCTTTGGGTGGGGACTGATCGGATGAAACCAAATGAAAAAGACGGATGATTGTTAAAAAAATTTTAGTTTTGTTTTGTCAAAAATATAAAATATAAATACAACATATAATCATAGAAAAATAGATCAGAGAAAAAAAGGAATAAAAATTAAAAAGCGAACGAGAAATTTTGACCAAAAGTCAATGTGCAATTTGCTAAAATTTGATCCAAGGAGAAATTTTTGTAAAATTAATAAAATTTAAAATGCAATTTAAACTTTTTCAAAATCTTTGTAGCAATTTGAGATAAAAGTTTGTTAATTTCTCATTTTCTCCTTGGCAAAGTAATTAAAAAAATAAAATATAAGAGACATTTTTTGGGAAGACCATTTGTTGGGGTACATAATGTGAGATCCCCAATTCTTAAGGTATATAAAATAGAATTTTTCCTTTATTTTAATATAAATAGAACTAAAAGTGAATATCTAAAATAGAAAATAATTTTGGAACAAGAGGGAATATATTATTATAATTTATCATTGCAAACACTCACATCTTAAAAATAAAACTTAAGGGGTTAATGCAATTAGTGCACCTAAAGAGTTAAGTATTAAGTGATAACAAAAGTATTTTCGAAAACTTTTTGGCATGGAAGGGTGGATCATGACTAGGTATTTAATTTGTTTTTGGCTCTTTTTTTTTAAAAAAAAAAAACCAACAATTTTATTAATAATTAAAAAATAGGGCAGCGAATACACTAAACCATATATCAAATACAACTTTAATCTTAAAGTAACATTTAATCCTTGTTCAATCTGGCAGACCGTGAAACTCGAACTTTTTTTTTTGCCTTGGCTTTTTTCGAATGATTGTGATATGTAGGAGCCGAAACTTCACTATAAAAGGACTCTTGTGCCATTGCATGTTCCATGTCGAAATCTTCATCATCTAAACCCTTAAAAACATGATCTCGTTCTCCTTCTGAATGGATTTGATCAAGCGAATAACTTGTGTTTGATTCCTCTGTATTTTCTCCTACCTCCTTATCATCTTTGGATATATATTTCGTATTTTCCGGAGCTGAAAAGGGGAGTAATACTTGGAGGGTGGTACTTGTGATCGAGAGGAGCGGGAAAATTCCGGTGCATCGGGGTTTAACTTATGTGTAGAGTTATTGGGTGAGCTATTTTGGGAGGTTATATTTTCAGGATTTGAGAGAGAAGTATGTGGTAAAGGAGAGTTTTACTTTGAATTTAACACATTTAAAATTGGGGGATAAGATTTTCAGGATAAAATTGGGAGGTTTTACTTTCAGGATTTGAGGGTTGATGATTTGGGGGGATAAGATTTTAAGCCGCTGATGTCGCAAGAGTTGCGGATGGCTCAAGTGTTTCAGGCGAAACTGACGCGCAAATTGGGGGATTTCCTTGATCTTCCTTCATCAACGGTGAACCCTGACGGACTTCCATTATCGGCGATGATGTAGCTTCTCCATGGCTGGATTCAATTTGAACATCAATTAATGGAGAAGAGGGAGCAGACATTAGTTTTTCTCCTGCGATTGCTGGAGTAGAAGCCGCAGCAGCGACTAATGATGAAGAATTTGCCAGCGGTGGAGATACTCCATTGTTGGTGTTAACTGGCGCAGAGTTGAAGGGCATTGATTCGAATGGCATGTGCAATGGACTCGGCACAACATTGGATGGGGGAGGATTTAGCGATGATTGATGTTTTGATATATGATTTGAATGATGCGGCTCTAGCTTTTGTGATGATGATGCTTTTGGATTGAATATACAAGAATGATGATCATGGCCAATTTTTTTACAATTACCACAATATTGTGGCATGTTTTCATAGAAGATTTTTTGTAAGTAGGACTTCATTTCAACCCCCAGCCGGATTCAGATGGGATGTTCTTTGAGGAGGTCGATCTCTACACAAACGCGAGCCATCGAGCGACGCGACATATTGAGGGTTGGCACGTCAATTTGAAGAGGAGTTCCTATGATGCTTGCAAGCTTCCACAGGTAGTCTTTGTTGAAGCGATGAATGGGGAGACCTTCTAAAGAGATCCATACCGGAATAATGGAACTTTCATATGCTGGATTAAAATCGGTGGTCCATTTTAAGAGTCGCATCCGATGTTTGTCAAAAGTCCACTATCCTTTTAGCCAGCAATGATGAAAATTCTCCTCTAGATCAAAGCATATGAGAATATGTCTATAATCAATCGATCCAATTGAAAAATTTTCTTTGAAACCAATGATTTGGAATTCTCTCCGTGGATAATCTATTTTTTGCCTACCTTTGGTGAATTTTCCTACTAAAACAAGACGAAATGGAGCTTCCAATTGTTCATCTTCTTCTTTTGTAAGAAGAAAAGTTGGCTCAGAGTGAATAACGGGTGGGTTGAGTGTTTGTTTTTTTGCTGAATGGTTGTGAATTGATTTTGGATTGGAGTTGTAGCCTAATATTTGTGCAAATGAAGGCGTTGCAGGGGTGTTGGGCCTATGGCAGGCTGCAGATCGCCGGCCATAGGAGGAAAAGAGAGGAAAGCTTAGAGAGGAGAGAAGCTTAGGCGAGAGTAGTAAATTTTTCTTTCCTGTAAAAATATAAAACGACCAACCTAATGCATGTTTGTTTTTGCTCTTTGCTCAGCCATGTTAATAAATAATAAATCCAACATTTTTCTTGTTTGTACTCCAGTTACCAGAACCTGACTATTACATGGATTCAGAGTGGAAAATCATCCAAGTGAATGAAAAGACCCAAACCCATATAACCTTCGGAAACAAGTACTTTGCAGCCAATTTGTACCAGCATTCGCCACCTGAGGTAAACCATAATTTACCTCAATATATAGATTGAGATAAGTACTCTTTGGTTTATGTCTTACTGTCACCTTAATTCATATACTATTCTAATGTGTGAAAGTTCATACTCATGCATATATAGGATCTACAACTTGCAAGTTTACTAGTCCGACCAACTAGATTCTTCACGGATGATGAGTCGAAAAAACAACTGCTGGTTACGAAGGAGAAGTACGGATCAGTCCGGCGGGCATTTATCGTCGGACACGCTGTGGAGGAACGGGCGGAGATGCAGAGATGGAATGCAGAAAAGAATCCGCCAGATATGACTATTGAAATACAAGGAGCGGATCATATGATCATGTTCTCTAAATCTCAAGAACTTTGCAAGTTTCTACTTGAAATAGCTCAACAGGCAAATGAGCATCCCAGATTAATTTTTGAACATTAATTTCCGCGCTGCAAAAATAGTTTGTTCCCAAAACTTTGTTCAGGTGCTAGTAGTTTTTTGGGAAAAAGTTTGTTCCCAAAACTTGTTCATTTTCTAGTGAAAATGAAAAAAATAAAGCTAATGAAACATGACGAGGGATAATGGAATTCTTTTGGGGATGTCATTATTTTAATTTCTAAATTTTGGGATTGATTCCCTCGTTCTTTATTATTTGCATTACTTTGTGTTCTTTCATTTATTTTTACTCAAGACTCAAGACTCTAAACAAATATATATATATATATGTTACTATATTAGAAACAAATATCAATCGTAAAATTTCTTCTCCTTTTGATTTTTTGCAGTTCGCACCCAGGATTCCATGTATTAGAAACTATACAAATCATGCATCTTGCCACATAAGAAATAGATTTTTGGGAACTAGTCCCTATAATTTTCAAAAACCCATTTATTTTAGTATATTTGATTGTATTATCAAATATTTTTCTTCAAATCAAAACTTGGCTTTTTTTGTCTTTTGTAAATCCTATCTATGTTAAAGAAATTCTAGCTTTACGCTAATATTTCATCAACCAAACATTTTGCGGCGAAAAAAATAATTAAAAAAGTAATAATTGTCAAAATTAAATAGAAAATTATATGATTTTGTTTGTTCTCAAGTTAGAATTCAAAGTTTTGTGATGATGTGAAAAGAAAATTAAATAGTTTCATTTTTTAAGGCTTGCAAAAATGTCATAATTCAAAACGTTTACCACCGAAAGAAATTCTTTAACTTTAGCCCTAACCTTAGTTCAATAAAATAAACATATTTATAAAAAGAAAAAAAAAACAAAGATTAAAATACAAAACCTTATCAGTTTTTGTAGAACACATCTCATAACACTTTTTAGAAAATGAGATTGACACTCACTCCATCCGATTCGAAACGATTGTACTAGAAATGAAAATCTAAATTGGACAGTTTTTTTGGAAACTAAGAGTTTATTTGTTTGATATTAATTATTAAAATCTATATTCAATCGGAGCAATGATCGTTTATAGTGCTAGTAACTGTTTAATAACAACAAATTTCAATTAAACATAAGTGACTTTCATTGATGACCTCTAATACAGAAAAATCTAGTATACAACATATATATATTATTAGTACATCCAACTAATAGGAAATGACTATTAGCGTTTTCGACTCATTCCCCCCCCCAACTAGGACATTGGCTTCAATAAAATCAGGTTGCACAAGGTTACATGATGTAACGTTTGATTGAAGATTTACTCCTCTAATACGCGTAACCAATCAGAAGATAGGAAGAGGTAGAGTTTTGACTAAAATCTTATATCATTAATTTCTTCTTGCCTTAATAGAATTGGAAAAGGCATATATACTAGACTCCCAAAACTCTAAAATTTAAGAAATATTACTTTTACAAACTACACACTTTCAAGCTTATGCATAAAATAACAATCCATGATAAACTAATTTTCTACGTAAAATATAATTTAATTATAATAAAACAGGTAAAACATCACTTTAAAATTTTGGCATAAGAAGATATATTTTTTACGTTCTAAAATGGCAATTAAAATGGAACAGAGTTAAGGAGAGAGTAGTATGTCTTCTTTGGTATCTCAAACTGATTTAAGTTACTACATGATACTGATGTATAAAATGTTCGTTTTCTCGTGACAGAGAACATCAATCAGTTTATTTTGTGTGTCTTATAAAAACCAAGCAAAACGCTTGCCTCGTGCCACATTAAAATATGTATTTTGTGAACTGATGTTGAGCTGGAAAGAAAAAAGGCCCTGGCCAGCTTGAGGAATCAATATGTCTCCATCAACCTTTTTCCTGTCTACCAGTTTTTTCTAAATGGAGTGATAATATATGCAGAGAAATTTCACAAGACATGAAATGGTTAAATCTTAATTATTTCTTCTTATTTAAATAAAGATAAATCTCTAAAAGAATTATAAGCATAGATGGTTATGATCTATTCTGTCATTCTGTGTTAAAATTTCTCTACACGAATCATTATTTTTTCTAAACTTCTTTTTATTATTCATTGTTTAATTTCTGATGATCTCTTTCACTAAGGATATTTGCTAAGGTTGAGAAATTGAGTTACATTCATATATAACCGTCTCCAAAATACTCATGCACCACTACCTCAACTTAGAATTTTAAATGGATATATGAAACATATCTAAAATCTGTAACCTATTGAAAGTAAAATAAAAATAAAAAAAAATGTTTCGCTACTGAGTACACCTCTCATACATTGTAATCGAAAACTAAACATTTTTAGGGCATCAAATTTCAAAAAATTGTGAAAATTAACGTTCCAAATTTCTACTTTCATAACCCTGAATGTAGAAAGATCACACACCAATATGAGATGTAAGTAATAATTTTAGACCCAGAAAGAAAAAGAAATGCATATTTATGTTTGTAGCACTACCACATATTTATGTGGTAGGATTGTGCATTATTAGTCTTTATATGATCAACAATAGCACTACAGACTAATAGAATTCTCTGCCAATACAGAAGCCGACGGACCCCTCTCTGGTCGATCACTTTCAAGATTTTCCATTGCGTAATGATGATTATCTTATACTTTCTTGTTCGAGTACACATGCCTTACACTCTCACATTCTAGATTCTTTTAAATTCTGTTACATATAAGTGCAACTAATTAATGATATCATTTAGGTGGACATATATTTTTAAGGTTGATTTTAGTTATCGAAATCAGTTGCGGTTCTAGACTCAAAACCTAGTGGGGGTTGACTATAATTATATTATTGAGGAATAATTTTTTATTAACTAAAGCTTATAAAGTGTTGTTTATGTTTTGAGATTTTTAATCGTGTTCCACTTAGTACATTAGTGTAAATCTCATTTCCGTTATAACTAAATCACCACGTAAACTCAAAATTATTTGTATTTTAACAAGTAAATATAGTTATTTAAACATATACACCCAGAATGAGAGCACTATATTTTTCTATAGGCACAAAGGAATTTTTTTTACTATAAAAGTTATGATATGAGAAAAATTTTGATAGTTTAAGGTGTTAGATCCTATATATATTTTATAGAATAAATTAATTTTTTACATCATTATAGCATTAATCTTCTTATTAAATTAAGGATAAAATTATTTAGGACAAAACTTAAATGGAACTATAATTTTGAAACATTTTTTGTAGGCTTAAGGCCCAACCCAAATTAGGAGAAAATGAAATAGAAAACACAATTTGAGTCCAATTAGCAAAATAAATCTTAATACACACCTATAAACAAAATTATAATTATGTTTTTAAAGATTTTAAATATATAAAATAAAGATTTAGGGTGGGGCCAGAAGGGCCGTGGCCTCCCTAGCCCCCACCCTAAATCCGCCAGTGATCGAAATGTACGAGGAAAATGCATATAGTTTAACCAAAAAACAACTAAAATGTTTATGAATACATACAAGTGCAACAAAATTTTTCGCTGATAAATTGAGGTCACATAAGTCTTCAAAATGCTACGTTTACTTTGTAATTATAATTTCTCACTCATTATCATATGAAATTATCATCTCATCCTAATCGTTTTTTTTTCACCTTATTTTCTTAATTCCTTGCAATGGAATTATAGAAGCTTTTCAACATCCATGTTAGAACTTTTGCATGGGCCAAGACCAATAGTGAAAAGGTCTCATGTATGTTATGTACCTCATTATTCCTTTCATTTTGTAAAAGGTGGAGAAGTGGACAAAACAGGAAAAACACGCCACTATTTCACCTCTCGAAACTTATTGTTATATTTCATGGCTGTTTATTGGTCCCTTTTCCCGTTCGCATTTTCTTTTTTCCTTCTTTTTCTCTATTTCACAATATCAGTTGCGTGCGTTACGTCCAAAATCTTAATGGTTAGAATGCATGGTAGTACATATATATATATATAAAAAATTATAAATAGATATATTAACTAAGAGAAATCACATTAAGTTCTCCCATTTCCCATCAACTTAACCAACTATTGCTCTCGATCGCCTTAAAAGATGGCGAAAACGGGTGCTGGAAAACACTTCGTGCTGGTTCATGGAGCTTGCCACGGCGCGTGGTGCTGGTACAGGCTGGTGGTTTTGCTGGAGAAACACGGCCACAAAGTTACCGCCGTCGATTTAGCCGCCTCCGGCCGGAACGTCGACCGGCGGTTGCAAGACTTGCGGTCCATCGACGACTATCATCAGCCGCTTTACTCTTTCTTGGAGGGTTTGCCGGACGGTGAGGAGGATAAGGTGATCCTGGTGGGCCATAGTATGGGTGGCTACGCCGTTTCCTCCGCCATGGAGAGGTTCCCGGAGAAGATCGGCTGGGCTGTTTTCGTGTCGGCGTTCATGCTTGGTCCTAACTTGACCATGGACCAACTTGCCCCTAAGGTAAACTCGTAATATATCGTAGGAGCAAACTTTAAGAACTCCAGAAAATCACTTTTGAGTTATTTTAACGTCAGAAACTCTCCAGAAATACCTTTACCAAAAACAAATTAATTTGAACCATAAGTCTCTCTGTCTGGTTTGCTACATTCTGTAGCCATCTTATAAATCACATTTATATATGGGAGAATTCTCCTATCTTTGGACCATGCTGGCCATCGTCATCAATTAAAACTCGATTATTGCAAAAACTCATATACTCATGTAACTCGATACTCCTTTTGTCCTAAAATTATTTCGCTTTAAATTTTATTTTTAGTTCAATTTATACTAAAAATGAAAACTCAAACTAAACAATAATTTTAAGACGGATAGAGTAATATATATAACGACCACTAATACCTTCCTATTTAGAACTTTGGATCTTATAATATATATTAACTAATGACAAAATATTTTACTGATACTTTTCGTGTTAATTACATCTCTAAATCACTGTGTTCAGCTATAAATTCACTAGTAAATTATTTGCGGTTTTGTCAAGGTCTAATTATTATTAAAGTATAAGTTATAGATATAGGTGAGTGTGAAAAACATAAAACCAGTGTTGTCAGACCCAAATCGAAACGGGCGATTGTACCGGTTTAACTTCGAACCTGTCTGTAGAGCGATTCGATCAGAGGCCAAATCCGGAAAAGTACTGAACCGGTCAAACTCGGTAGAGATCCGCGGTCAACCCGGGTTTTCAATTTTTTACAATTTTTTTTACTTTCCAGAAGATGCAAGATTCCTCCCCCACCCACCCCCCCAAACGGTTTTCATCTTTTCCTTCATGCCCGACGCAGAAGATGCAAGTTTTTTCCTTCATGCCCGACGCAGCCCACTCCCCAAACCCCATCATCAGCCACAACAAAACAAAAAACAAAAAAAGTAAACTAAAACTAATTTTTTTATTTCCATATTTCCTTGAACCTTGCACAGGAAAAAATTTTAGCCCTTCTAAGTTTATTAAACAACAACAAAATCCTGGGCTGCAACTTCCCTCTTCGCGCCACATGTAAACTTTCGCTCCTTCGTTTTGGTTTTTAGAGTTATTTTTTTTTATTGGAAAATATGTTTGTGTTTTTTTACCTTTTCTTTTCCCTCTTATTGAGTACTAGTAAATCAGTAATAGTAGCATTTGTGATATTTTTGTTTTTCATTATATTCTTCAAGACTTTTAACTTGATTTTTTAGTTAGTAAATATTTTATATTATTATTGATATATTTATAATAAATATGTATTTTTGACATCATAATGACATTATCCGATTTTATGTTCCGGGCTAACGGGATTGACCCAGTGACCCCTTAAGAACACTGGTCCGGTTTCAAATTCAGGTCTGACAACGTTGCATAATACACAAAGGTATTATAGATTTGATCGGAAAGAAAAATGTGGTTAGTTTTCGAAAAAGGCACATGGACGCAGTAAATATGGCGTAAAAAAGAGAATGGATTCCCAAAAGGGCCTTTTTTTTTTTAATTGTTATTCTTTTTGAGTTTATAGTCTATTAAAAAAGTTAAATATGGTATGAAAAATGTCATTCTAAACCAAAAATTATACTGTCTCTCGTCTTTAGAAAAAGAGTTTATATTACAGTTGAATTGAACTATTTAGTGTGATTCACAAGCTATTTTGTTTTTTCCAAAAAAAAAAAGCTATATTGTGGACTTGACTCATAAGTTATGAATTTTTCATTTGAGTTTTGATTAGCATGGGTTTTTACTTTTGTATTTAGTTTGCTGGACCGGACTTTTATATGGATACTGAAGTAAAAACTGTTGAAGCAAATGGAGAGACCCAAGCCCACGTGATATTCGGACCCAAATTTTTAGCTGCCAAATTGTACCAAAATTCACCACCTGAGGTAAATATAAATTACTCCCTATCTCCAAAAGTTGGTTGCCAATCAAATTGAGACGGGAGAATAGTCATTCATCAGTTTTTTTGTTTTTCTTTTTTTTTTTTTATATATAAAAAAGTATGTTCTTGATTTTCATTTTGAATAAGATTATTAATACTCCTTCTGTCCCATAATTATTGTCCAGTTTGAAATTTTATTTTTAGCATAATTTATACTAAAAATGAAAACCTGAAGTGGACAATAATTATAAGGACGATGGGAGTACAATCACTAAATGTACACCTTGACTTCAGACTTAGGATATTCATACATGCATAAAAATAATCTAAGTGAAAAAATAACTCATCAAACGTAAAATCACATGTAGGAAAAAAAATCGTTATAGAACGTGAAGAATAAAATTGAGCATACTAATCGATTTTTTGAACTTTTATTTCTTTTGAACCAACATTACCATTTGGTTATCTCAACAGGATTTGCAACTTGCATATTTATTAGCCCGACCGACTAGATTCTTTGGGGACGATGAGTCAAAAGAACAACTCTTGGCTACAACGGAGAAGTATGGATCGGTCCGGCGAGCATTTATCGTGGGTGGCGCCGATGAGGCGGTGCTCGTGGATGTGCAAAGATTCATGATAGAACGGAATCCACCAAATATAGCTAAGGAAATAGAAGGAGCAGATCATATGGTCATGATGTCTAAAACTCAAGAACTTTGCTCCATTTTGCTTGAGATTATTCAGGATGGAAACTAAGAAAAATCCCAAACGTAATCACTGGAACTATATTTACTGTTTGAGTTGGAAAATAATTACCAGATACTCATGCTATCCTATGTGAGTGAACAACTAATAGTTGGAGATCAAACTCGCAAAAATGAGGTCTTTTTTTGTTGGTATTTTTCTACTGTTTATTTTAATTTAATGAAATTTTGTTAACAAATCAGGTGAATGAATTGGGAGCTTTTCGTTTTGTTCCACGAGGACGATATTATTTCAAGCATTCATTCTTAACTAGGGGGATTGAGTACTTGAATGCATTATATGGATTGTTTTGTGTTAGTATGTACATATGAAAATAAAATAGAAACATTATGTACCGAAAAGTTATGTAGGTTTCAAAAAGTCATATTAAACAATCGTGTCGTCCTTCTCTCTAAAAAATTTTAGTGAGAGAATGTCCTATTTTCTCTCTATGAGAAAAGTATCTTGACGACAAATTCTCATCAAATTCAACCTTTATTCTTCCTTGTTAGATTATCTGCAGTTCTTTCCTAATTGTGGTTCTGGAACACACCTTTAATCCCACTATCCTTGGTTCTCTAATAATATAAAAATCTTTCCCTTCTACACCGTTGCATTTACTCGGCCATTAATTGCCATTTGGATGCCATGCATTTACCAGTCTTGTCATCCAATTTTTTAAATCTGAACAGGTTCCCCATTCACTTCATTTACCAAAGTAGTTTTAGTCTTTATAAGTCAAGTTGTTTATCAGCCTTTGTACCTTTATTGAGCCCCCTCCCATCCTTTTCACTTCCCTAAACTTTGATTTACCATATCTAAGTCATAAAGTCTTCCGCCTTTTTTGTTTTTCCCTTTTCTTTTCTATTCCTACTACAGTCCGAAATCATTGCTGAGCAGTACCTTTGGATTCTTGTCCATTAATTTCACACCACAGACATTCTTTATCCCCACATGATCTTCCTTTTGTTGTGTTCTCCTTTTGTTCTTTCTTCTTTACTTCACTCTCAATCCGGATTTCCTGCCGACGTCAGCTGCTGTCAACTATTGTCCTATTCACAATGAATTACAGACATGCAATGGATGAAAATTCAGTCACTGTTATGTCAATTCAAGGATCCAACTTTTCAGAGGAAAGGCAAGACCTTAGAACTCATATTGATCCAGATCCAAGGAAAATTTCTCGGTCTTTCCTCTGATCGAGCAACATGCAACTGACGGATTACCATACCCTGCTCTCTCGAGACAATTTGCAGTTATCCCTATTAGGTTATCTGATTGAAGACAATGAGGTCGATGACAGAGCCATGCAAGACTATATGGTAGCAAATTGGCCAGTCACAGTCCGTGTCATGCACTATGACCGCAACTTCTTCATCTTGAAGTTTATGAATCATGCTGAAATGCTGGCTATTCTGGATAATGGCCATATGCTGTCAATGGTGGTTTACTAATACATCGTCGATGCTATGATCATGAAGATCTGGTCCTGGAATTACTGCTCATGAAGATCGATGCTATGATCATGAAGATCGAGAAAATGAGCATCTGGGTCCGCCTGCATGGGGTGCCTATCACTTCCATGAATTACTGCTCCTTGGAGGACCTGGTTAGAAGGGTTGGTGATGTCGAAACCATCAAACAAGATTGTGTATCTCTGGTGCAAAGCCACCTATGTCCGGGCAAATGTATAGATAAAACCTGGTGTCCCTTTGGTTCCTTCTTTTTATTTCACAAAAAGGAATGGTAAAATGGCCAAGATCCGATGCAAGTATGAACAAATGCATAAGTTTTGTCAAAGATGTGGTAGATTGGGTCACCCACTCACCCGATGCTATTTTATGGAGGATTATGCTCTAACCACTTTTCTTAATAACTTTCTCGCTGCCAGAGCAGCTCAGTTTGATTCCCTTTTGTTAGTAGATGTAAATCAGCCGCTGTATTCTGGAGCACTTCGTGCTCACGCTCATAAAAAGAAGCGTTGTACTCGATTGCCTGAATACAAAATGGCGACAATGCTTGATTTCTATGACTCTGTGCCAGATAATTACATTCAGGATGGTTTCACCATCTCTAAGACTGATGAGGAAACTCCGGTTCCTTGGTACCCTTGGTCCCCACACAACCCTGATGATCACCAGTCGGATGCTGAGAATGAGGAGGAGGATGATAATCAATCGGAGGATTTGGATCAGGATGACAGTGACCCTGGCGATGATGATGATGATGATTCCTCTTCTGGGGGGTCTAATCAGTTTATGGCTGCACTTAATGCTGATAATTTTGTTGATGATGATGGCCCCCCAGTCCCGGTGGATGGCAGATCTAGCCTTTATGCAGGTGTAGCGGCTGATTATTCACGGTGTGCAGCTCCTGTTGCTGGGGAAGACATATATTCTTCCTTTTCTGCTGACCCAGGTGACAGTTTCCACTCACTCTCCTCCCACTCTTTTGAGTTTTATCAAGGTCATGTACATTCCTTCCCTGATAATGCTAGTGAATTTTATATGCCGCATTCATTTTACGAAATTCCGGATGTTCCTCCGTCTGATGCTATGCTGGAAAATCCTTCTTATGTCCCGAATTTTATCATTCCACATATATCTGATTATCCCCCTTATCGAGACATCTCCCCGGATCGTGGTTTTTCGGGTTTTCAACTTAGTGATGATTCTCATGTTGCAATAGATGATGAAGTTACTAGTAATTCTGTTTTTGTGCCTTCTGGAGTTGGGCTGTTACCAAGACTTAGCACCAGGTCCTCTGCTGGGGGTGGAGAACTGCTACAAGGTAGAAGAATCCCTGTTAACCCTAAGGGGCGAGCACATTTTAAGAAGAAAGGCTTCCGTGGCAATTCCTCCTCTGATTCGGCTCCACCATCTTTGTTGGATGCAAGCTCCCAGAATGATAGTGACCTTGACGAATTTTTCATGCAAGCTCAGATGGCGGTTTCTGAATCAAACCTACCAGATTCCAGACACAACACTCAGCAAAGCTCCCACACCCAGCCTTCTTCTCATGGATGGTGTATGAAGATTGGAGATGAGGATTTTGATGACTCTGTGGATTCTGACACCTCATTCAACTCCTCAGATAGCAGGAAAAGACACTCGGAAGATTCTCTTCTTGGTCTAGACCTCCCAGAGAAGCGAAGGTCCAACACTGAGATGCATGAGGAGGTGCAAAGTCTCTTCAGCGATTTGGAGATGGCCTGGGAGGAAGGCAAGCAGCAAGCAACCACCTCAACTCAACTGAATGGTTTTGCGGGGATTGAACCAGATCAATCCCCTCTGTTTCAATGAGTATCTTATGTTGGAATTGTAGAGGCATGAATAAGGTCTCGTCCAAAACTATGTTAAGTAGGCTTAGTAAAAACTACAAAACCAAGTATTTTGTTTTTTATGGAGACTAAAGCTGCAAACTCTACTATGTCAGCTTGGTTTCAGTCCACTGTTTTTCAGAATTGTTGCATAGTCGACCCAATTGGCAGTAGTGGGGGCCTGGGTCTCTTTTGGATAGCTAATCTTACTCTAGTAGTAGTCTACCAAGATGCTAATGTGATTGTTACAAAGGTCGCTGAGGCAAATGGTTTAATCTGGATGGCCATTTTTGTGTATGGTCCTCCTGCTAGGAAGGAGAGAACATCATTTTGTTCTAGCCTGAATGAAATCATCCAAGGTTATTGTTATCCTAGTATTATATTAGGTGATTTTAATCAGGTCACTGAACAGGAGGACAAATATGGAGGTCGTCCTATCAGCATGCAGGAAACCAGACCCATTCAACACTTCCTTTCTGCGAATGATTTGGAAGAGCTCAAGCATCTCGGTTGCTGGTACACTTGGACAAACAAACGCCAAGGTTCGGATGCTATTTTTGAACGTTTGGATAGAGCTTTTGTTAGCAAACTATGGTTTCAAACCTTTAGGCATGCCGTTATCCGAAACCTTCCTATTGTAAGCTTTGATCATGGCCCTATATTGGTAGATATTCGCCCGAAACATAGGCCACGCAGAAAACCTAAATTTAAACAATTCTGGACAGCTTGTCCTAGTTTAGTTCCACAAGTCACGCAAGCTTGGTCCTCACCCCCTCTTTCTATTCCTGACTCACAAGACACCCTTTCTTATAAACTCCATAAAACCCTAACCCAACTTCATCAGTGGAGCAAATCTAAGTTTGGCCATCTGGACTCCTTAGTTCAAAAATTAACTGGACAGCTTAGTCAAGCTCAAACACAGTGGGAGGCAGACAAAACTAACTCAACTCTGCTCATGGCTTTAGACACCAAACGGATTACTCTTGAGGATGCGCTCTTCCTCCAACAACAATACTGGCAACAGAGGGCCAAAATTAACTGGTCACAACTGGGAGATAAAAACACAAAGTTTTTCCACAATTGGGCAGCTAGACGAAAAGGCAACAAATGGATCACGGCTCTGTGTGATGACCAAGGGACTTGGTTTCAGGATTCTGGACAACTTGCTTCTCTACTTCAAGCACACTTCTCAGCTATTTATATGTCACAGTCTTCAGCTTCCCAATCCTCTCTGGACTCCTCTTTCTTTACTTCTTTCTTAAATAATGTTAAGGAATCCCTTACCTCTGATCAAGTTGGCCTTTTGGATGCTCCGTTCACACCTGATGAAGTCTGGCAGGCAATCCGTCAGATGGCACCGTGGAAATCTCCAGACCCTGATGGTATACCGGCTGGATTCTACCAACATTATAAACCGATCATTGGCCAAGAGGTGGAATCCTCCATACTGCAGGCTTTTAATACGGGCACATTTCCTCAGGAGTGGAATCACACAAACTTAGCTTTGATACCTAAACATGCTTCTCCTTTGACCCCGAATGATTTTCGCCCCATCAGCCTTTGTAATGTCAAATATAAAATCATTACCAAAATGATCACTAACCGATTGAAACAGGTACTGCATTCCCTCATTGATGATCATCATAACGAGTTTGTTCCTGGCCGGAATATCAGTGAGAATATTTTGATGGCCCACGAAGTTCTTGAGATGATACATCACAAAAAAAGTGATTCTGGATTAGCTGCCATTAAGTTGGACATGAGCAAGGCATATGACCGTGTTGCCTGGCCATTCCTTGAAGTTGTTCTTACAAAAGCTGGAATTCCCCCCGGCTATTGACTCTGATAATGCATTGTGTTACATCAGTGTCTTACTCTATTCTTTTTAATGATGAAAATCTTCCTCCCTTTCAATCGAACAAGGGGCTAAGACAAGGGTGCCCCCTATCCCCGTATCTTTTCATCCTGTGTCAACAAGTTCTTTCCTCCACTCTTCGTGCTGAAATTCAACCATTTCCTGGTTTGGGTGTCAAGATCAGCCGAGAAGCTCCACGATTAAGCCACCTTATGTATGCTGATGATAGTCTCTTTTTCATTGAGTGTACTCCTTTGGCGATTCAAGCACTTGCTGGTCTGTTGGAAAATTATACCACTTACTCGGGTCAGAAGATAAATCTTCAGAAATCTTCAATTCTGATAAGTGCAAATACTCCCTTGGCGATGCAGGATTTGATTCATGAGACACTCAATATCCCCCGGGGATCTTTCAACAGTAAATACCTTGGTATGTCTTTGGATTTCTCACAGCATAAGACCACTATTTTCCATGATTTTACTATCAGGCTTAGTAACAAATTTGCGTCTTGGAAGACCAAGGTACTCTCCTTATCAGGACGGGTTACGCTTGCTAAATCTACACTTTCATCCATGCTAGTGTACCCCATGGGCGTTTTTCGACTTCCACAGCACACTCTTACAAAAGCGGATAAGATTATTGGTAATTTTACCTGGAAAGGTGACACAAATGAACAGAAGATTCACTGGCGTGCTTGGAACAAGATCACCAAATCCCAATTTCATGGTGATTTGGGTCTGAAGGCTACCAAGGAGTTCAACCAGGCATTGTTAGCTAAACATGCCTGGAAAATGATGATGGAACCAAATTCACTATTAGCTAGATTCTTCACTGCAAAGTATTGCCCCGGTGACACTTTCCCTCCCTTGCACACGCCAAAGAAACTTTCTTGGGGCTTTCGCATCATTCTTTGGGGAGCAGAATTATTACAAGGCAATTTGAGGTGGAAGATTATATCTGGCAAGGATACTCTACTATCTTCAAATTGGATTCCTGGAGTTACTAATCCGATTAGCAGCCAATCTGTTCTAACAACTGCAAACATCCGAGTTAACAGGTTTATTACTCCAACAGGTCAATGGCGTGTCAATGCTCTTAGGAACTTTTTCCCGGATCATATCATTTCAATCATCAACGGCATTTTTATTGATCCAGCAAGACACGACGAACATGACTGTTTAGAGTGGATCCATACGGACCATGGCCGGTATACAGTCAAAACTGGTTATCAAGTGGCAATAAATTCCACAATCCCACAGCCTACTCCGAATCCGGCAATTTTCCAATCCAAGAAGCTTGCATGGATGAAAT